TATATCCAGGATGAGAAATGGTCACTACATTATTTGTGTTCATTTATTTTGCATTTATTTTTTATTCGATTTATTTCGATCGAAATTCGATATTGATCATCACCAGCAAACACCAACAAAAAAAGCCCGAATTCATTGCAAGCTCGTAAAAACACGTAAACCAAACTGAAAAGGAAAAAAAATAACCGACGTGCAAAAAATTTATAAAAAAAATAACTTTTAAAACTTTTCAACTCGCAAACTTTATTTGCAATAAAATCATTAACATAATTCTCACCAAATTCATAACATGACAAGAATTCTATTCAATCATTTAAATCAGGAAAACAAAATGTAAGAAAAATTTTGATTCCAAAAGAAAAAAGAAAAAACTTTTACCGAAATTCAGTTTAGCCATCATCATCATCATCATCAGCAACAATATAAACAAAACAACAAAAAAAAATCGATCATTGGACAATCGATTATCATTATTGTTGTTGTTGTTAGCCAGCATAAAATCAATAATCAATAATTGTTTCCATTATATTCAATCAAATAATCATTAACCATTTTTTTTCTTGATTTCGATAGAAGAATATAACAAACGAAACACCATTAGAGAAAAAATTTCACATACAGAAATGGATGAAAAATAAATGTGCGAAAAAGCAAAAAAAAAAAAAAGAGGAGAGAAATTCTTTCAAATTCATAATGATTATAATGATAATGGAAAAAAAATTCTCAACAACAACAACAGCAGCAAAAAAAAATCAAATAAATAAAGATTCTTTCCCTGGATTTCCAAAACAGAAATTTTTTTTTCAACATTAAACAACAAAAAAACAAATTCCAACAATGGTGGAATGGAAAAAAAAGCCAAAACATTTGAAACATGGAAATGAAAATGGACCATGTGTCTGTGTGTGTATGTAGAAACCAGAACCAGAACCAGAATCAAGACAAAACAAAACAAAAAAAAATACAGAATAAATGAATGAAACTTACATTTGGCAAAAGATTTTTGATGATGATAATGATTATGATGATGATGATTATTGTTAATGTTATTATTACTATTGCTGTTGCTGCTATTGTTATTGTTATTATTATGTTTACCAAGATAACAAATGGGACCGTAAATCATGATTATTATTAAAGTCCATATATTTTATTTATTTTTTTTTTCATTTTATTCAGTCAATTTTCATTATCAGTGATGTTTTGTTTGTTGTACGGAACAAACAAGAGAACACCGGGGCGGGGAGAGAGAGTTGAGAAATGTATGAAAAAAAAACCTGAATTGAAACGTCACAAACAAAAACAGGAACTGGAATGATATTAAAATTCATGCAGTTTTTTCACTGTATTTTGATAGCCAAGAATCAGAATCAGAGTTTATAATTTTTGTTTGTTTCTAGTTTCAAAAAGATTTCAAAAACCGATCAAAGATCAATATGACACATCAATACACAACGTTTTTTTTTTGAGAGATATTGAAAAACGTGATCACTGAATGACCATCATCATCAAAATTATCAGTCTGTAAGTGTGTGGTCAGTTGAATTATAATTTTGTTGAAAATTCGTGATTCAATGATGATCCAAACAAATAAATTCAATGACCACAAACACACACAACATCACAAACAAAAACAAAACAATAGCAAAAAAAAATCAAACAACCATTCATGCCAAAGTCATGATAGTGAATGTGTATGCCATTCGTTTGCAAATTGAAAGCGCGAAACGAAAAGAATATTCTTTTCTTTGTAATTTCCCCTTTGCGTACGCGCATTCAAAAACATACATTTCCTAGAAATAATAGGTTCCATCATCATCAATGGAATGAAACAAAAAAAAAAAAAAAAAAACAAGAGAATAATGCAACCAAAAAAAAAAGAAAAAAAAATTTGGCGGCATTTCATCCCGAAAAAAATTCTTTATTCTCTCAATCATCAAAATTGCATATTATTAATTTGATAATGATAATAATTTCAAGTATATAATCAAATGAATAGGCTCCTCTCTGACTGAATGAATAGAAAAATTTCTTCTCAATCTGTTACTAATTATTTTTTTTCCTGTTTTTCGCAAAATTATTAATGAGAAAGTGAGCGCCAAACCTAAAAATTGGCTCATTATTGGAATTATTTAACATGAGAGAAAGAAAATGAAACAAAAAATCAAAAATCAAAAAATGATACACATGAACACAAATCAAATGAATTCTTTGTCAATAAAATGGAAAGAAAGAGAAAAAAAGATGCATTCTTTCTATTCGTAAAAAAAAAATTTAAAATTCATAAACTACTGGATTCCGGTTTTTTTTCTGCATTCTTTGCGGAAAAAAATAAGGTAGAAAAAACAACATTTTCATTTCCGAATTCAAAAACAAAAACATAGAAAAATCCAATTTTTTCTCTCTCTCTCTCTCTCGTATCCATTTATTCATTTTTTTTCGGTCGTTTGTTTGTTTAAAAGTAAACAAAACAGAAAAAAAAATTTAAAATTTAAAATTCCATCATCATCATCATCATCACTATAATACCATGCCATTATCTTCTTCTATCTAGCTTGAATGTTGATAATTCTCGTTTCTTTTTTTTCACTCGAATATCAAATGTCTACTTTTTTTTGTGTGTGTGTGTGTGTACACATTGAATATATATAACATGATTATGAGATGACAGAATTTTCTATTCAAACAATCATGGCAATGAATAAAGTGGAATACAAGGGGAGAAAAAAAGAATTTTTTCTTTTGATCTTTCTGGATTCTTTTTTTCTTCTGGATCATATCACTTGAATGTTGAAAACTATAGAAAAATATAATTTGTATGGCATGTAACCAGATATTCTAACAAAAAATGAAAAAAGCTAAATATAATGTGTTTGCGATATCATAATCATTAGATAGATTAGAATCATACCAACGTAATTGAATTTAATCAATTAAAGTTTCAAATAAAATTCTCAACGAATAAGAAAGAAACTCATAGCAACCGATTGAAAAGAATATTCTTTATACCTATAACAATTCAAATAACTTACTGTTTGGAAATTTGATTCCACCTGATGATGATGATGATGATTGGTTAATTGGATTTGTAGCATTAGTAGTAGTTGGTTTAGCCATAATCGCTGGTGTTGTTGTCGATGTCTGCCTTGGTAATATTGCTGGTCGTAATGGTTTCGATGATTGAGTTGGTGGTTGTATTGTGTTTGGAGAATTTTCACGATTTAATGATTTACTAAATGTTGTTGTTTGATTTGCATAATGTACACGTTTCTGATGTCTTGGTACCATTGGTGGTGGTGGCTGCTGTGATGATGATGGTGGTGGTGGTGGTGGTGATGATGTTGATCGTTGTTGATTTTGATTCTGATTCTGATTCTGATTCCGATTATGATCATATGGTTCTAAATCCAATGATGATGAATGATATAGATAGGAACGTGCCAAATTCTGTTGCTGTAATTTTATACGATTTCGTAATAATGCCTGGCTAGAGTTGACATCTGGTGGTGATTATATGAAAAAAAAATTTAAATTTATTTTTTTTCTATACAAAACAATAATCTCTGGCAAAATAATAATAATAATAAAAAAATGGTAAATGTCAATCGATCAATCAATCAATGGTGTTTATCATTCCATGAAAATGAAAAAGAAAAAACTTATCCATTTGCCATTTTAAAAAATCGATCTGGAATCTAAATCTTCATTCACTGATTCATTAATGATATTTTGATATACGCACACACACACACAAAGTTCCTGGATCGATACTCATACAAATAATAATCGATTATAGTTCATGTCACGCAATGAACAATTTTTGCTAATCTTGTTGTCTATATGTTGTCATAACTTGTTGTTGTTGTTGTTGTTGTTGATTTTATGAGGAAGGGGAGTTAATCATATTAAAATGATGATGATAATGATGACGACATATTTTTCGTTTTGTTTTTATTTTAATATATTTCAAATACCGTTACAATCACACACACAGATACATACATTATTAGATAGATTTGACGTATGCCATTTACAATGGCATGCATGCATACATACAACACGTATATATATATGGCATGGATCGATTTTGATTTACATGAATCCCACATATATATATTCATTTTAGGTAATAAATAAATAATGAATGAATAAATGTAATGATGATGATGACGACATATGAATATCATCATCATCGTCGTCGTCGTCGTCGTCATTCATTCATTATCTATTCCAATCATCAACGAATGGTGCATTTACAATAATAATGCTTGTTTGTGTATGCGTGTATGTGTTTGATCAACCAAACAACCAACCAGCCAACCAACCAAACAACCGAACCACATTTTTATAGACATTGAAAATTTTTTTTTTCATAACCAAGATAAACAATAATTTAATAATAATAATGAATCAAGGATTCGTTTATTCATTTCATTCATTCAGGTGGTGACATTTTTTTTTCGTGATTAGCATAGAAACCGAGTCTGTCTCTTTCTCTCTCTCACTCACTCACTCTGGTTCGTTTTCCCTGATATATAAAGAACGTATGTCAAATTTTTCATCGAAAAACAAACATTCAAAATTTGTTTTTTCAATTTTTTTGTTTGAATATTATGAGTGGTTTGTTTTGGCAAAAAAAAATTGTCATCAAAACCATGTTCATGTGATGCGTTCATAGCAGCAGCAGCAGAGATATAAATGACGAGTGAATAAAAAATGAAAATAAAAAACAAACAAAACAAGTGATCATCATCATCATCATCGATTGCCAAGTGTTGAATGTACAGTTATGGGTTTTTTTTCATTCATTGTAAATATTCTGTCATCATCATCATCATCATCGTCATAATTGCAATTCTGAATTTCAATTCAAAAAATTTTTTTTTGACAGGAGAAAAAAAATTTTTTTTTGTTTCCATTTCATTTTTATTGCAATCATACTCCTACACACACACACACACACACACAGTGTGAGTGTTTTTTTTTTTTTTGGTGAGAAATTACGCATTTTTCTCTTTTTTTCGTTTCTATAAGAAGAATATTCTATTCAATTGAAAATTGTCATCATTCTAGTTCCAGAATGTCTTCGACAACAATTTCATCATCTTTTAATAATAAAAAAAATTCACAACAACAACAACAACAACAACAACAACAAGCAGCAGCGGCCACATTATACAGAAAAAATTGAAAATTATTATCGTACAAGTGAAAATGTTTATAGATTGGCTGATCATCATACAAATCATCCAAATATGTCTGAATGGATTATAAACTATCCACGACAATTATATTTTAATAATAATAATAACAAGAATTATATTAATATTAATAATCAAAATGATGATTTATATGAATTACATGTCGATGTAACTGGTTATAAACCGGATGATATTAGTGTAAGTACAAAAGATGATTTATTAATCATAAATGGTCATTATGAACAGAATGATCAACATCGAAATGGTTATCAATCCAAAGAATTTACATATAAATATCAATTGCCTAAATTTTTGGTCAAAGATAAAATGAAATGTATGTTTAAAGATAATGGCCATCTATTGATTGAAGCACCAATTGAACAGCCAAATACAAGACAAATACCGATAAAAATATTGAATGAACCATCATCAACACCATCACCATCACCATCATCATCAACATCGACAACGGCCAAATTAATTAATGGTCATAATCGGTCATCGGCTACATCGATTACAACTACTACTACTAATAATAATGAACATGATGATAATAATGTGGCTACTATTACTACTACCAGCAAAAATAATAGTGTTAGCCATGTATAATGATCAGATTTTCAAAAATTTTTAAATTTTAATTAATTTAAATATATATTCAAAGTTAGAATAATAAATAAAACATTTTGTTTTCTGTTTCATTGTTATTTCCAATTTTTTTTTCTTTCTTCAAAAAATGCAAAACAAAATTTCAATGACAAAAACAGAAAAAAAATTCAAATTTCAGAATTGAAAACAAAATGACACCCACACGCACACACACACACACACACACACACACACACCATGAAGGATCCAAAAATAGAATGATTGATTGATAGTGGAAAAAGAATTGCCGCGCAAACGAAAAAAAAAATTCCAATCCAAGAATTAATCCGACAGATTTTTTTTTTGCGAAACAAAAATTCAAGATTCAAAACAAATTGATTTAGAACTGGGAAACAAAAATCCTATTGACATTTAATATATCAACAATCGAGACACACAATGGCAATATACCTTGGCAATATAATGATAATAATTATTATTATTATTAGATCTCAAAGAATCTATGAAATGTCAATAATGACATATATACACACACACACACCAAACACACTGTTACATATACGGTTATTATATCGAAATGCCATACACGAATCTCATCAATAATGATGATGATAATAATAATAATAATAAGAAATGTAATGTAATGTAGGAGGAGGTGTATGTATGAAAAACAAACCATTATTATGGCTCCTGAGATAATGTTTTTTTTTCACCTTATTCTTTCTATGTGTAAGTGCGTAAGCGAGAGAGAGAGAGAGAGAGAAAGAATCTATATATGATGTAAGAATGTTAACAAAAAAAACTACTAAATGTTGTAAATCGAATACATACGAATGATGTGTGTGTGTGTGTGTGTGTGTATTGGTAAAAAAGAAAGAATAAGACCAGACAACTTATACATCAAAAAAAAAAAAAAAAAAAAAATAAGCAATAATTTTAAATAATTGATGTAAATATTCTACATCTAGTTGTATCCAAGAATATTCCGGTCTTGTGTGAGCAAAAAAAAAAAAAAATAACAAACATACGGACAGACCAGAAAAATAAAAAAAACACATACACACTTTATTCTGTTCGATTCGATTTTTCTATCAGTATATGTTGTATTTTTTTGCTAAATACCATGAATAGATTTGACTACATTTGATTGAAATACGATCGATACTAAGATAATCTAATCGAATATAATATAAATACAAATTCAGTAGAAGAAGAAAAAAAAATGAAACAAAACCAAAAAAATTTTGTCATTTCTATAGAACCGAAATCTTCTTCCATTCTTTTGCCTTTGCGGCCAATCAATCAATCAATCTAATGCAATCAGATTCTAGTATTAAATAGATAGAATATAATTATAATTATTATTATGGTTATACTTACTTGATTGATTCGTTGCTAGACGATATATTTCATTATTGGCAGCATCGAATGATCGTGAATTTGGTATTGAAATTGGTATTTGTTGTGGTGATGATGATGATGATGCTGCTGCTGCTGCTGCTGCTTGATGATATGATGGTGGTGGAATATTTGCATTCATTGATGTTTGATTACAGATTAAAAAACTTGGTGGAACATGTACAATATTCCGTTGTTGTTGTTGTTGTTGTTGCTGTTGCTGCTGGTGGTGGTGTTGAAAATTATGATGCTGTAATTGTGGTGACATTATCATCATATTTGGTGAATCATTCGATGATAGTATTGATGATGATGAATCAATCATTGTAGCAGGATGATGACGATTCATGATGGCCATTTTTGTAGCCATTGATTGTTGTTGAATTGGATGTTGATCATTTTGATTATTATCGATATTATCATCGCTGTTGTTACTATTATTATTATTATTATTATGATCATCAACAATGATCGATGATTGATGTTTCAATGTTGATGGTTTAGATTTCTTTGTCGTTGCTTTTTTCGATGATAATGATAATGTTGTGCTAGTAACTGGAGTAGAAATAGATGGTGAAAGATTTTCATTATCCGGTATAGAGGATAATTTTCCACCACTATCTTTTGATTGTTGTTGTTGTTGTTGTTTTATAGATGATCCTTTTTTCGATTGTTGTTGTTGTTGCTGCTGCTGCTGCTGTTGCGTAAGTGAATGGCTACGATGAAGCTGAGCAAATCTTTTAATACTAAATGGCATTATGTCAACATAATAATATCATTTGATGATTCATTAAATAATGATGATGAAACTCAAAACGGACATATAATCTGTAATGTGAAAAAAAACAGAAAAAACAGAAAATCAGAAAAGCAGAAAACAACAACAACAACAATAACAAAAACAAAGAATATTCTACACTATTCGTTTTATATTTTAATCTAATTATTTCATCATCATCTTCATCATCATTATGAACATCGTTTATCAAATAACAAACATCAATAATAATGATGATGAAGATGATGATTATAAAAAACGGTGGTTATGTTACACACACACACACACTATAATCACCATCATCATCATAAAGTTATCATTGTGACAACAACGAAAGAATTTTTTTTTTTGTTTCCATCCAACAACAATAATAATCAATGATGGTGATGGTGATGATGACAAAAGAATTATTCTGTTTTTCAGAATTTTTCAGAAAAATTTTTCACTTGAATGCAAAAATTTTTTTTTTTTCATTTAAAACACATACTGTGGATGTAGTAGAAAATTTCGGTCGATTCCAGAATTCAAGTTTGATGTGTGAATTTTTGGTTTTCTTGAATCAAAAAAAAAAAAAAAATTTCTTGAAAATATAATAAAAAGAAAATTTCTCGGTAACAACAACAACAACAACAATGTAAACAGGATGACCAAAAAAAAAAAAAAAAAGAATTTCAACAAAAACAATCAATCATCGGTTCTTTGATGAAAGAATTTCAAATTTGAAATACATGAATGAATAATAATGAGGATGATGATGATGATGATGATGAGAAACACTTGATTCTATCGATTCGATTCAATGATGGTGGTGGTGGTGGTGTTGATGGCCAGCCATATAAGCCAAACTAAATAAAAACACAATGAGAATTCGATTTTTTTTGTATAATGTTTGTATATTCGATTTGCAAATGTTTGTTTGTGTTTGTGTGAGCTGGTTGTTGGTTCATTAATCCTAAATTTTTCTTTCTTTTTTTTTATTCACTTTCTTTCTCACACTTTTATTTCTTCTTGTGTGTCTGTGCGTGTGTGTGTGTGTTTGTTGGAACATTTATAGAATACAAAAAAAGAAAAAGAAAAACACAGAATATATGCACTCAGACGACAACATATACACAATATATACAGCGGCATCAAAATTGAAATTCTGCTTCTGCTCAAAAAATTCTGTTGGATCACATCATCATCATCATCAGTATCTCAGTATCAACAAAACAATAGCATCAGCATTTGGTGAAAAAAAATGGATAGATAGAAGAAGCATTATGAGCATCCAGAACCGGCGGGAATTCTATCTGTATTTCCAAGTAGAAGAAGAAGAAGAAGAAGAAGCAACAACAACAACAACAATAATAAAAACCAACTAGTAGAAATAGTCGAATATGATGTTGTTGTTGTTCCAGAAAAAAAAAAAAACAAGTGACCCCTCTCTCTATCTCTATAGCAATTTTGTTGTTGTTGTTGTTGTCAATTGTTTGGTATTTTTTTTTATTATTATTTTTCTGATATACAGATAGCCTTTGGTCGCTATTTGTGGATGAGATGTGATGTGTATGGATTGATTGAATGGTGGCTACAAAAGTGTTTGGTGGATACGAATGAAACGGATGAAAGACATGAAAGGAAATTTTCAATATTCTGGATTTTTGTTTTTGTTTCCTACTAACTAAGCAATGATGATGATGATGATGATGTGAAAAAGCATCAAGATATAGTCATCGTGAATTTTTTTATTTTTTTTTTTTTTTTGGAATAGGGCACAACAACAACAACAACAGCAACAGAATCGTACGCTATATATACACCCAAAAAATCGAAGATTTGAAACAATAGTTTCTGGTTATTCTTCTGATCATCATCATCATCATCATCGTCATTGTAAAGAAAATGAATTACAAACTATTCATTCCATAGAAAATAGACATTTCTAATCCGGTGGCGGTTGCCACCATTGCCGACAAAAAAAAGATTGAATGAACAAAATGAATTTTTAACAAAAAAAAAATGAAGACGAAGAAGAAGAAAAAAAGAATCCTAATGTGATGAGTGGGTGTGTGTTTTGTTTTGTCTTTTGTTTATTCGATTCTTTTTTCATTCATTCATTCATTCATTCATTCGTTTGATTGTTTCACACATGACAAAACAATGAAAATGAATAATGATCTTGGAACACAACAACAACAACAACAACAATTTGAATAAGAAATTTTATGCATCACACACACACACACACACACACACACACACAGACAGACACACCGATACACCCACTGGCTTAAGTAAAGAAACCGGAAATATTAAAAAAACGTATCGATCACATCATTTATCAACTATTTTTTTTTTTAGGAATCATCATAATCATTTAAAATTTTTCGTTCTTTCCATTTTTTTTTTTTGCTCAATCCTTTAATGATCATCATGGATGATGATGATGAAGCCAGAAAATTGAAGACCTATTGGCATAATGATAGATGTTTATCATTCTATAGCAAGCCTTTGATGGATTTGAATAAAAAAAAAAGTACGAATGAAGTCGTTATCGTCGTCGTCGTTCAACCGTTTCATGGCCATCCACCACCACCCATAATAATAATAATAATCAACGACTGAATAGTTTTTTTTGTTTGTTTGTTTGTTTGACATATTGTGTATTGAAAATTATTATATTACTCGAAAATAATGATAATGATGATGATGATGATGATTATTATTATGTTTTTCAGTTGTAATTTTCGTTCAAAAGAATCCAGTTTGACAACTATCTTTTCACAACAACAACAACAACAACAAAAAAAAACATTCTACCCATTCTATATATATACACACCAAAAGACGACTAGAATAACCCAAACGACTAAAAAAAAAAAACCAAATCGAATGTGATGATGCAGGCAGGCAGTCAAAACATTGATCAAGTGATGTGTGTTGAAGAAGAATGAAGTTTTTTTTTTCTTAAAAATTTTGAAACAAATTTTCATTTTTTTTTCATTTGGTGTTTGAAACAAAATTCAATTTGTGAAATAATTTAAATTTTTTTTTATTTTTTTTTTTCAACAATTTTCCAATTTACATTTTGTGTGTGTGTGTGTGTGTGTGTGGGTTCTGTGTTGATGTTTTCTCTTCGTCTGGTTTCTATCATCATTCATTTTTTTTTCTCCAAAATATAAAATATGTAATGCACCTGCTCATAAAATTTTTTTTTCTGACTTTTTGAGTTGTCTGTTTTTTCTGTTCCGTTGGTTGGTTGGTTGGTTGGTTGGTTGGCTGGCTGGCAACAACATCAACAAACAAACATATCTTTCAAACAAAACAACTTTGGTCTTATCGATTTGATATATTTTTTTTCTCTTGTTGTTTGTTGTTGGATCATTTCGTGTGTGTGTGTGTTTTTTTTCCTGCAGTGTTTGGTGTGTGTGTGATCAAATATTTTTGGCCTTAATTTATACACACATAAAGAAAACATGAAGCCAATAAATTCATGCGATACATTTGTTGTATTACCTACGGCTACAGCTAATGGTCAAATGATATTTGGTAAAAATTCCGATAGACCAGCCGGTGAAGTTCAGGAAATTGTATTCAATTCACGGCAACGATTTGAAAATGATTGTAAACAAAAGGTATATATATTTATTTATTTCTGGTGTGGTACACTGGCTTATTGATTCCTTTTTTTTCTCGATTTCATTTCCAAAAGTGTACTTATATTGAAATTGATTCAATACCAGAAACATATTCGGTTATATTGAGTAAACCGGTTTGGATGTGGGGCGCTGAAATGGGCTCCAATGAACATGGTGTCTGTATTGGCAATGAAGCCATTTGGAATCGATTAATCAATGATGAAAAAGATTTGAATAAAAAATTACTTGGCATGGATCTAGTACGATTAGGTCTTGAACGTTCACGAACAGCATTAGAAGCTATGGATGTGATAACCAAATTATTGAAAGATTATGGTCAAGGTGGACCATGTTCCAATACACAGATGGATTTTTTCTATCACAATGGATTTCTTATTGCTGATCCAAATGAAGCTTGGATCATTGAAACTGTTGATAGTGAATATGTTGCTGAAAAAGTTTCCGGAAAATATCGTAATATTTCCAATTGTCTTAGTATTGGTACCAAAATTGATCGTATCAGTGATGGAATGAAACAATTGGCCATTGACAGTGGATTATGGAATGGTAATGATGAATTTGATTTTGCAAAAATATTTACCGATAATAATCATAATGATCGAACACGTTATGATGCTGGTAAAAAATTTCTAGATGATTATACAAAAGGTAACTATTTCCACATTGATTGATTGATTGATTGATTTTATTCAAATTTTTTTTTACCCATTATTCCCTTTTATAGATAATAATTTTGATATTAAAAAAATGATGCAAATATTACGAGATAAAACTAGCGGTATTTGTCGACCATGTGATGACGGAATGAAAAATCCAACGGCTTCTAGTCAGGTATCAGCGCTGTCATCGGATTTAAAACAACGGCCATCCGTACATTGGTTTACTGGTACACCAGATTCTGAATATTCCTATTATAAACCATTTATATTTCATCCAAAAGTACGAATTGCATCGGAAAAAACACGATCCATGAATTGTTTTCCAAACGTTTCAATTGATGATACACAAGTGGATAGACGTCATTATTTGTATCGAAAACATGAAGAATTTTATTCACGATTACGTAATGTTGATGATGATAATCTACATCAAACATTGAGACAGATTGAAAATCTTTGTATCGATGAATTAGAACAGATGCTTAAATCTGGTGGCTATAACAATAGCGAAAATGATGAATCAAATGAAATTGATAATCTATTCAGTGATTCAGTGGAAAGTGAATTACGATTTTATCGATGAACCAAAAAATTGCTAATTTCAATACATTCCAGCAGCTGGTAAACAAAAAAAATCTGGGAAAAATCAAAATTTTTTTTTTCGACCAAAATTATTCTACTTTGATTGATTTTCTAAAATTTTTTTTCATCATCATCTTTGATCTAATTCAGTTAATCATTTTTGATTTAAGAAAAAAAAAAAAACATTTTATCGTCATGAATAAGTCTACGTCATTCAAACAAACAAAAAAAAAACTTGACATTTTTTTTTCTCTTTGTCTTCAACTTCAACCACGGTTCATCATCGCTTTTTTCATTTTGGCTAAAAATATATCCAAAGTTATGGTATTCAAAATTGTGTACAGAATGTACTTTTATTCTTTTGTTGTTGTTGTTGTTGTTGTTATTTCGTGAAAAAAAAACAGAATTTAAAAATACAACATCCACCATATGAAGAATGCCAATTGTATTATCACAGAATATGGTGGAAAATGCAACAAAATGATTGGAATCAACCCATCATATATCATCAACTTTGAATGAATAAATTAGACATGATGATGAACAAATGGAAAAGAAAATTCCAACCAAATCATTATTGTACAATTTTTTTTTCGACTCGTCATCATCATCATCATCATCATCAACATCATCATGGTGATTGAAAGGATGATGTTGATCATATAGAATGATGATGATGATGTGAATTTTATATATTTATAAATATGGTGACAATCACGCACACGATACGGTTGTGTGTCTGTGTTTTTGTTTTCATATATTGGATTTGACATTGTTTTATGCAGAAAAAAACACCTTTGTTTTTTTTTCGTTCGATTAAGCAACAACAACAACAAAAAAAAGACGTAAACAGGTGTATTGTATGAAAAAAAATTAATTTCCAAATTATTAATATGACAAAATGTAAAAAAATAAAAATAAATTTCGAAATCATCAAATAAAAAAAAAAAAATTTAACCGGCATTACCATCATCAATTCTATTGCTAATAGCATAGAATAATGTTTATAGAAAAATTCATATCATAAAAGTAGTAGCATAGAAATTATGTTGAATTGCAAAAAAAATCGAATATAGAATCCATTCATAAAGTATGTATCGGGTGATACAACGTCCTTGTTTGCCTTGTTCGAAACAAACAAACAAACAAAAAAAAAGTTCGACCTGAACATTGTATCAAACATACATTACGCTTAACAATATTTATATTATATTTATAACACGACATTATCCTCAACCAAGAACGACGGCCACGAAAACGATCATCATCATCATCATCATCATTTAAAACAACGATCAACAGAGAGTAGCCAATCCATAATATTTTCAATCAAGTTTTTTCCGCTTTATACAGTGTATCGATTAATCTCTCTCTCTCTCTCTCTTTTTCTTGAAAGAAGACGACAACATCGATTACAAACCAGCAGCAGTGGTGGTAAACGTCATCATGATCATTGATGTTGATCATAATCTTAATTTTTAAATATTAAATTTTGAATCATACTAGCCGCATATTATTATTACCCCCATACATATACATCAATTGATCAGTTACTTTTTTTTCATTGTTATTTGAATATCTAATTTTTTTATTTAAAACAGGAATTTTTTCACCCGTTTCTTTTTCAGGTGACCTTTAATTTAATTATTATTATTTTTACCCATGTGAACAGGAATCTTTTTTCTTTTATTCATTTTGATTTGATTAGATTTCTGGTACATTTTTTGTTTAGTATCTATAAACCAACCGCTTTGACACACACACACACACACAGATGAATTAATTTTACTGTTTTATTCATGATTCTAATTAACATTTTTCGTTTTTTTTTCAAACAGTTCAGTGTTCCTTCAACTTAAATATTTTTTTTTGTTGTTGTTGTTCGATTTCTAATTTGTTGTTATTTTTTTTTTTGTTCAAAATCAACATAATGGTAAATATTTCAATATTCATGATTCATTCAAAATTAATTCTTTTTTTTTTTTTTCTTGAAATTATCAATTAGTCTATGCTTTGTCGACGATTATTTCAGGTCAATACAACAAATGGCCTACCTGCAGCATGCGTTAATTATGCATCGGCTCGATTTGTTAGTAATCCTTCGGAAAGTACCGATTTGAAAGGTATTATGGCAAAGAAAATTGTTGAACATCAACGACGTGTAAAAGAATTTCGTGCTGCATTCGGTAACAATGTTATTGGTGAGATTGCCATCGATCAAGTATATGGCGGTATGCGTGGTCTCAAAGCATTGGTTACTGAAACTTCGTATCTTGATCCTGAAACTGGTATCTCATTTCGTGGTTATTCGATTCCTGAATGTCGTGAAAAATTACCACAAGCACCTGGTGGTGAAGAACCATTACCCGAAGGTCTTTATTGGCTTTTATTAACCGGTGATATACCGAATAAACAACAAGTGGAAACAATTTCCAAACAATTTGCCGCTCATGCCGATCTACCATCACATGTTGTGACAATGTTGAATAATTTTCCATCAAATCTCCATCCAATGTCTCAATTTAGTGCCGCAATAACTGCTTGTAATACTGAATCATTGTTCGCTAAAGCATATGGTGAAGGTGTCAACAAAGCAACATATTGGGAATATGTTTATGAAGATGCCATTCGTTTGATAGCTAAATTGCCGACTATTGCTGCAACTATTTATCGTAATCTTTATCGGGATGGATCATCGATTGGTGCTATTGATCCAAATAAAGATTGGTCAGCCAATTTCACAACAATGCTTGGTTTCAATGATCAAGTATTTACAGATTTGATGCGCCTTTATTTGACTATCCATAGGTTTGTTATCTATTTGGTTCATTGATTTAACATTGAATCATTAATTGAATTTATTTATTTAGTGACCACGAAGGAGGAAACGTCAGCGCCCATGCAGTTCATCTTGTTGGTTCTGCTCTATCTGATCCTTATCTATCATTCGCTGCTGGTATGAACGGTTTGGCTGGACCATTGCATGGATTAGCCAATCAAGAAGTATTGGTCTGGTTAACCAAATTACAGAAAGAACTTGGTGACAATGTTAGTGATGAAAAAATGAGCGAATTTGTATGGAAAACATTGAAAAGTGGTCAGGTAAAATACATTAACGTCAATATCCTAATATGACATGAAATCAAATCTTTATTTTTCGATCAAAAAGGTTGTCCCTGGTTATGGTCATGCTGTATTACGTAAAACCGATCCACGTTATACTGTTCAACGTGAATTTGCACTCAAACATCTACCTGATTATCCAATGTTTAAACTTGTGGCCCAAATCTATAAGACAGTACCGCCAATTTTGTTGGAACTTGGTAAAGTGAAAAATCCATGGCCCAATGTTGATGCCCATTCCGGTGTACTTTTGCAGGTATATTTACAATGTTTGCAATTTTATAAAATGTGATGAAATATTATATTGATATATTCTATTTGTGACAGTACTATGGACTAAAAGAGATGCAATACTATACTGTATTATTTGGTGTTTCACGTGCTCTTGGTGTTATGGCATCATTAGTTTGGGATCGTGCACTTGGTTTACCAATCGAACGGCCTAAATCAATGACTACGGAAGGTTTACAAAAATTGGTTGGCGCTTTGTAGAAAACACATAATCATCACATTTCGAAAAATCATCATTATTGTGTGTATGTGTGGAATGAAAACAAAGTCATCGAATGTGTATAAGAAATAGAAAAATTCAACAACTTTTTTTTTGTTTATTTAGATGGTAAAAAAAAATACAGCAAAAATTGTTAAAAAAACAACAACAACAACAGCTCCTATTATATTTATCTTCATATCCCCGGTCCATGAATGTTCCGGTTGTATTAATACTTATAAATTATTTTAAAAAAAAAAATAAATGAATAATAAGAATCTCAGTAAAACAAAAATGAATTTGAATTGTTTCAAATAATAATTTGTTCCATATGTAGAAAATAATTCCGTGTGTGTGTGTGTGTTTTTTTTTCGTTTGTTATCGTTTCGTATTAAATAACTGTATATAAATCAACCCCCAAGAATTAAATGTCGAATGCTGTTTTTCGAGGACAAATATTAGGACAAATTGTTGACGCATGTGTATAAATAGTTTGTCATTTTTCAGTGTTTGTAATAAAAAAAAAATAATAAATCAACGAAAACATCTGTATGCGCGACGACTTTTTTTTTTTTTTGGTTATCAATTTCAATTTCAATTATTATTGATCAGCGTTTTTTTTTCATTTGGTACATTATTTTGAAAATTCTTATGACAAGAATTTGATTCAAACACGTGCAACACAAATACGATATGAGACGTACAATATTGATATTTATACGAAATAATCTTATGAGTCATCATCATCATCATCATCATTCTTTTAGACAACAACAACATTTAAAAATGATTTCACAATTGATAAATAGACATAATAATAACAACAACAACATTGTTCAATTGCAATATCGATCATTTTTTGATCTACCATTTCAATCATCACCATCGGAAGATTTTAATGATAATAATAATAAAAATAATCGTCAAGAATTTACTGATCAACGAATTGTTAGGTAATGATGAAGGACTAATAATTTAATTTTTCATTTTAAGTAAATTTTATTTTTCTCCATTAGATTTACAAAAACACAGATATACAATGTTGTTGCCAATGTTGATGATTATGAACAATTTTTACCAAATTGTTTGGAATCAACAGTTTTATCACGTTCACCTGATCGTATGGAAGCTGAATTAGTTGTTGGATTTCCACCATTGATAACTGAAAAATATACATCCATCATTTATCTGGATAAACCGAATCGTGTACTGGTGAAAGGAATGAATAGTACAATATTAAAATATTTAGAATCAGAATGGAAATTTGAAGAATTGAATGCAAAACGAACATTAGTAACATTTAATGTTACATTTGAATTTCAATCAACCATACATTCACGTTTTATGAGTCTGTTTTTTGATGATTTTACCAAGAAAACAATGAAAGCATTTCTAGATCGTGCTTATATCATCTATAGTGCTGATCCATTATATTTTGATGATGATGGTGATAAATCTTAACAATTTTTAATTTTTTTTTCTTCCCTCATACACACTCATCAAGTTATCATTTAATTTCGTTTTTGTTTTTTTTGGTTATTGAATTTTAGGATGGCAACATATATGTTATATATTTTTTTATAAATAAGAAAATTGTACATGTGTGTGATTGAATTATGTGATAAAAAATTAAAAACAAAAAATTAAAAATTAAAAATTCTTTTTTTATGCTCATTTTCAATCATTGGCAAAAGATGGCACTACTAGATGTGTGTAAAATGGAATTTATGATGGGTCTTTTTTTTGCTGCTGCAGCTGGTATTTTTTTTTTTTTTTTGTATTGAATGGGCTCGACTTTTACATTCTTTTTTATTATTATCGGCGTTTGGTGTTTGTTCGGTTGGTTGGGTCTCTCTCTCTTTCTATTTTGCTCATCCATCTTTATTCAAGCTTCAATACATACAGAAAAGATAGATCCATTGAATTTTCAGTGTCCCGAACAAAAAAAAAAAAAAAAAAAATAAATACACGAAGACAGTGTGCTCACAAACAAATCAAGACCATTTTTTGTTGTACTCTTCGTGTCTCTTATTTTTTGTATATACCCACATATATCATCAATCAAACAACGTCACATTATATAATACACACGCGATTTTTTTTGATGGACAAAAAAAAATTGACAGAAGCCGAACATACAAAAAAAAATCCCATAAGGCTTAAATGGTTGTGTTTGTGACTGTGCTGACATTTAATGAATGAGAACAAAAAAATTTTTGTCATCATCGAAATTATTAATACACACACAAAAAAAAAAAAAATCTGATAAATTCCATATGCAAATTCAACTCTATATATGTGTTTAATAATATATCGACGATCATATACGAAAGAACAGCGACATTTATTTTTACAGTATAAATATTGATGATGATTTTGATGTTTATTTTATTTTATTTTATTTTTTTAATTTCTGCAATTCATTTTTCATAGGAAAAATTATTCTTTTGTTTCCATCATCATTGAATCGATTGAATTTGTTTCCCTCATTTTTTTTTTATATTATTATTTTTGATGATGATGATAATTGTTTATTGATTGATTTATTTTTATCATCATCATCATAATCGATTGAAAGTTTATGTGTTTATCACAACAACAACAATATAATTTTGTTTTTGCTTCGTTTTTTTTTTGTGTGTGTGTGTATGTGAAATCTAAAATGTCATTTACCATTTGTTGTTCATAATAACAAAACAACAATTTTTGTGCTTCATTTTTTTAATTTCTTTTTTGATTGTTCGTCTTGATTGTTTTATAATATAATATAATCGAAAATCAAAAGAACAAAAATTAACAAATTGTTTTTTTGTGTGTGTGTGTGCATGATTTGTTTTTGAATTTTGAATATTTAAACAAACAAACAAACAACAATAATAATAAAAAAAATGGCTGATTCATCCGAAGGTCAAATGGATGGTGTATCATCATCATCATCGATGTTAGCATCACCTATAGCAAGTCGTTCATCATCATTTATGACACCATCACCACCACCACCATCAACTACAAATATATCGGCCGCTGTATCACCATCGATTTCTATATCAAATCCATCAATGGAACGTTTGGAACAAGAGAATCGTGTATTTAAAATTGAAATTGAAACATTAAAATTACGTATAAAAAGTTTAACTGAAGAAAATAAATCATTACGTCGTGCATCGGTATCCATTCAAGCTAAAGCCGAACAAGAAGAAGAATACATTTCGAATACATTGTTGAAACGTATTCAAACATTGAAAAAAGAAAAAGAAACATTGGCACTCAATTATGAACATGAAGAAGAATGTCTAACTAATGATTTATCACGTAAATTGAATCAATTACGTGCTGAAAAGGTAAATTTTGGTAATTTACTTGGTTTTTTTTAATTATTTTTTCCCTGAAAACATTATTGGTATTCAGGTTCAATTGGAACATACATTGGAACAAGAACAAGAAGCATTGGTAAATAAATTGATGCGAAAGATTGAAAAATTGGAAAATGAAACCATTCGAAAACAGAATAATTTGGAACAATTACGACGTGAAAAGATTGAATTGGAAAATACATTGGAACAGGAACAAGAAGCATTAGTGAATAAACTATGGAAACGTATGGATAAATTGGAGAATGAAAAACGTGATTTATATGAAAAACTAGAAACTTTTAGTGCAGCTAGTGGATGTTCAATGAGTATGTGTCTTGATTATGATGATGGAATTTTTTTTTTAAATCAAATGTTATTTTTTTTCAATGTTTAGACGAAACTTCGAATCAATCATCATCATCGTCATCGATGCAAATGACTCCCGCTCAATCGCCTGGACCACCACAACCAATGAGCCCGATGAATAACAACAGTGGTGGAACGACAGCCATTTGTTCACTTGGTTCTAATATGAATAATAATAATTCTTCATTGATGATGAATGAACAACGTGTAAGCTGTATGTGTGATCCACATCAATTGACGAATCATGTAAAATTACTTCGTAGTGAAGTAATGAAACTACGTAATCGTCTTCAAATAGCCGAAAAAGAACATAATGAAAAAATGGCTCTTTTTGAAAAAGAAGAACGTGAACAAAGAGAACAAAATGTTCGTCTACAACGAAAACTACAAATGGAAATTGAAAGACGTGAACGTTTATGTCGCCATTTAAGGTTGTTTTAAACAATTTGAATTTTCTTTAAAAAATAATTTATATTTTTTCACATTCTAGTGAATCTGAATCATCGCTTGAAATTGATTTCGATGAACGTCATGTATCGAATGAGAATATTTTACCTACACCAAGTTCGTCGAATGGTCGACAACGAACATTATCATCGCCAGTACCAATGAATGTTGCAATGTCACCACAGGCAAAAGCACCACCACCGACACCATTGGCAATTTCATCACCAATTAGCCACGAACAATTGATGCCACGACCAATCAGTCCAATTAGTCGTCATAAGACTGTTTGCTGTCCAAAATGTGGCCATTCATTTTTGGCTTCAATTGGATCATATACTAATTTGTTTGCAAACAGTAGCATTACAACGGCAAGCCAACATCATCATTCATCATCACCAATGAATGTATTTTCGCAGCCAATTTTCACTAACCATCATCAACAACAACAACAACATCATCATCATCATCATCATCATAATCAGTCAACAGCAACAACAACAACGACAACAGCTCTTCATCATCAATCACTTCGTTCTGCCACATCAATTGAAAATGTTACTATGCATGGTTCAAATAATGATGATGATAATAACAACAACAAAGGTGACAATGTTCAAATGGATTCCGATTTATGATATGATTGAGAAGAATTTGGATTTTTTTTTTCTCAACTTTATAATGAGCTGTAAAAAAACACATATATTTTTTTCATGTTTATTTGTGATAATTGTCAATCATTCACCATTGATGATGATGATTATGATTTGTCTGTTGTCTATTTTCAAGTGATATTTTTTTTTCTTTTTCTTCTTCACCTAATTAATTTGATCGAAAATATTTTATCATAAAATAACCGTATTATGATTTCTTCTTCAACACACACACACACACACGCAGACACAAAAATACCATTTTTAAACATTTTGAAAAACAGGTGTTTTGTTTTGGATGATTTAGTCAGAGAATAATGATTGTAGAAGAATTCATCAACACACAAACACATGAACATTCATTTTTGGATTATATTTTAAAGCTACAGATTAAGATTTAGTTTTGGATTTGGGAAAAACATTTTTTTTGTTTACTATGAAAATCCCAAGAAAAAAGAAAAAAATTTTTATTTTCATCATTTTGGAGTGTCTACAACAAATAATACATATTGATTGTGTTTTATTTATAAATTGATTTACTTGTTACACACATCAACCAATATCCCCACTTATACATACAAGGTGATTTATATGTTCATTTTTTTTCGTTCATTAAACAAACAAAAAATCTTGGAATAAAAAAAAAACAGATGTATTTACAATCTATGATAACTTATTCATATCGTGATTCTTCATGTTGAATTTTTTTCGATTGTTTGATTGGAACATTATCCAATTCATGGATGCCAAGTAAACGCAACGTTCCCAATGTCATCACTACGGATCCAATGAATGCTGATGCAAATACAGATAATTTATTTGCGGTTGGAATATTTCGTCGTTGAAATGAATAATAGATAATATAACTACCAAGACCGATTAGGCCACCACCACCAATCATACGACATTGAAAACAATCTTCATAACCAGATTCCGGTGTTGTTGATGATGATGAACGATAATTAAAGATACGATCCAACATTATGATGCAATAATAATAATAATAATGGTATATATAATCCACGATCGAAAATAAAAACATGTGATGACAAGATTCGACCAAAAATGTCACGTACTTTATGTTTGACTCTTTTTTTTATGAAAAAATTAAAATAAAAACAATTTTTTCAAATTATAACCCTTATCGAATATATTTGGTAAATTTTAATTTCAATAAAAAAAAATGCAAAATGCAAAATGAATGTGAATTATGTACGATTAACAAATTACAAATATGAATGAATGTATATAAATAATACTGTGCAATTGGACATTATGGCTATCTGAAATATGTGACAATTGTAATAAAGGCAGCAATCGAAACGATAATCATGACCATATTGCCATGAATGGTCGAAGTTCCAAGCTATGTATGTGGCGATAAAAGAAAATTGAATCATCAAATTGTAGAATAATGATGATAACTTACAGTAATGTAATAATTACATCGATCACCAGTACAACATTCAACACATTCCCAATCATTATACCAGATACGATCACAACGACGACTGGAATTTTCACGTGCTTCCTGACATTGAGCCTATATTTTTGGTTTTAAAAATGAAAATTTAAGATTTGATCAGCGATGCTTTTTTCTGGCAAATTTACCAAAGTTGTACATCTTTTCGATATATAATATTGTTTCTGTCCAGTTGGATCCCAATAAGGTGTACCTAAATTGAATAATGAACAGAACAATATGAAAAATGTTGGATAATAATGTGTAAACATAAAAAACTTACTTCCCCATCGAACAACAGTCATACAGCTATTATCATCTAGATTACAAGTACGAACAGTACGAATACATTTACCATTATTATCTTCTTGATTATTGCATACATAACATTCATAACTGGTTACCATTGCTAAATTAATAGATGAATAATATATTGATATCATTGATGAAAAAAAAAAAAATTTTCACTTACATTGAAAATTACAGAATATTGCAAATAGCAACAGGTAAGAATAATTGAATTTATTTGTATCCATTATCATCATCATCATCATTGATGACAATCAATCTCAGCTACCATATATGACAAGCTATTATGGATGCTAAATACACACACACACACACACACACACACAAACACATCATTCGAATGAACAAAAATTGACTCAACAACAAATAAACCAAGGTAGGTTGGTAGCACAAACATACACACACAGAAATAGCAGCAATTTATTCACCTGCCACACCAGATAAACATACACACACACACACACACACACACACATGTATGAATAAACGAACTCATCATTTGATGGTTGTCATGGTAACTTGTTTCAAAAAAAAAAAAAAAAAAATTCAAATTTTATTAAATTCATTCATTCATTCATATCCGGTGCATACAATAAAACATTGAATTACAATTTATTAAAAATTTGATTTGATTTTAGTTACACCTCTATAATCAATATACCATTACTTCCAGTTTGACCACCACCAGCTTGACCACTACCGCCGCCATGGTTACCACCAGCCTGACCCCCCACCACCACCGCCATGATTACCACCATTTTGTTCACCGCCACCACCACCATGATTACCACCAGCCTGACCCCCACCACCGCCATGATTACCACCATTTTGTTCACCGCCACCACCGCCGCCATGATCACCACCATTTTGTTCACCGCCACCACCGCCGCCATGATCACCACCATTTTGTTCACCGCCACCATCACCATGATTACCACCACCGTTGTTACCTTGATTATTTTCTTCTTCGGTTACAATTTTCCTTACACCAATTCGTAATGGAATTTCTCGGCCAGTCTGTTTATCGGTCACTAAAATATTTGGTAAATTTATTGCACTTTGTGCTGGAAGTGCACGGCCATTAATCAATATCATAATATCGTAATAATTATCTGGACGACCAAATCTGCTTCCTGTTTTAATAATTCTTCTATCTCCAATGATGATTTTATCTTTTTCTAATTCAATAAAATGACATATGAAGTTACAATTGAAAACAATGATTTGCCTATCGCATGGCGTAAGCCCTGATCGTTCTATGGTGAAATTCCCGATAGACTTGGAGTTGCAGCATCATCGTCGTCATCTTTTGTCATCTGCTCTTTATCGTCGTCATCAGATTTATTTTCATCGTCCATAAATGATTCAATTCTATTCCCAAAATTTCAAAAGATGCAATAGATTCGCCACATAAAAATCAATGGTTAGCAGCAATCAACGACGAAATCAAATCATTTCATGAATTTAATGTATTATCTTCTGTGCCCACAATAATCAACCAACAATCGATTCTTAAAATGGGTTTTTGCCATAAAGAGATGTCAACGGAAAAAATAGAAAATTTAAAGCCTGATTAGTGGTTCAAGGGGGTTTAAGCAAGATGCGTCGATATTAATGATACGTTTCTCTGTTGAAATTGATGGTAAGAAAAAAAGTCATGTCCATAATAAGTGAATTTTTACCACAGATTGGATCCCATACAACAATGAACAATACGATGATTAGTGCAAATTTTTTTTTTTTTTTTTGGAAATTACACACACAGAATAAAATTCAAAATGACTAATTCTAATCAATGAAAAATGATCACTATTTATATGAAAATCACATCAGATTTACTTGTTGTTTCAAGCGATTAATAATCATCAAATAATTTCATTTTATTTATCCAACACAAGACAACAACAACAACGACAAAAATAACCACTGAATAATCACCGAAAAAAAAAATTTGCAGACAGGTGGTACACATCCAATCAATGAAATAATTGGATTTTTTTTTGAAAGAAAAAAAAATTTAATTACATATTAATTGATTGATCAAAAAAAAAAAAAATTTTTTTTGAAATTTTTATTTTTTTAATTTCATCCAATAGATGGCGCACGATTGGTGAATATTTGAATTTTAAAATTTTTTTTCACGAAAACAAAAAACAAAACAAAACAAAAAAATTCATCAAATATGCAAAACAAAAAGTCAACTTACTAGCATGTAATAATTAGCTTGAAATGTTCATAAGTTAATTATCATCTAATGTTTCGGCATTCAATTATTGATGATGATGATAATGATAATGGTGGTTGATAATTAATCTTCATCACCACCACCACCGCCAACCACCATTGGCATTATTGAATCTCGATTTAAAATCATGATCATCATCATCATCATTCCATATTAAATGGTTCAAATGGAAACATTAATGCCATGTATCTAATGGTAAGGTAAGTTTACTTTGTATGAATGTCGGAATATTTTTTTTTCCTATTGTGTATTCTCTACAATTCCTTTTATTTTTTAGCTTTTGTTTGTTGACCAACCAAGAAAAAAAAAGAAAAGAGAAAAAAGAGAAGAAAAAATAAAGTGTGAGGTCTCTTTTCTTGTTTTTCCATTGGCCAGTCTTTCATTTCAATGGCCAATGATAATCGCCGCCAATGCATACATATACAACGCAACGATGAAAGACGACGGTCATCATCTTTTGTTGTAAAAAGAATTTTTTCAAAAAAAAAAAAAAAAATGATCTCTTCATCATCGATCGATCTCTATCGATTGATAGAGGTCCATTTCACAAAAATAATGGTAATTCAAAAAAAAGGCGACGATCTTGGTGGTCATCATCATCATCATCATCATTGGTATGTATAAACGTGTTTCTAATATGTCTCTTTCTTTTAACACAATACAACCAAACGAAAAAAAAAACATATACACACACACACACACACAAAAACAACAACAACAACAAACACAATTTTTTTTTTTGGTTCTTTTGGTCACGTTTTTCTTTTACCTTTATTTCTGAAGAGATAAAATCATCTTGAACATGATGATGATGATGGTGATGATCACAATAAATTCCAAACAAACACCAATGAATTGACAATAACAAATAATAGTTTGGTTCCTTCTTGTTTTTTTTTGTCTATCGGTTCGTTGGTTGTTGGTTCGTTTTATGGCCCAAAATTTTTTTTTTTGATTAATTCAAACAAACATCATGATCATATCTCCGTTATCTATATATACAAAACATGATGGGTACACATTCATCTTCATTAAGACTAAATTGTCCCGATTTTTGGCTGCTGGCCTTTTATAACCTTTGTCGGCATTTTTTTTTTCTTTCTCTTCAATTGATCGATTATTATTATTATGATTATTGAAAGGTATCGATCGATATGCTCAGAACCCCCGCCTCAGTTCTCATACCATGAATGGATTATCAATTTCAAAATAGCAGTAATTTTCTCTCCATCTCTCTCTCACTCTCTTTTTATACCATAGTTGTGAATGAACTTTCAATACCCGTGATTTTTTTTTGTTGTTTAGTCATTGATTATTATTCTGGATAATGGCATGTTATAGATACACGAATAATAATTCAAAAAAAAAAAAATGGTGCAAAAGCAAATTATCTATTTCTATTTTCCATCATTCATTGTGGCGGCAATATCTATATATACATTTCGCGCTTCTGTTCTCTATCTATGCTATCACCTGAGAATCATCATTGTGATCATTTTGGCCCTGGTAAATAGTTCATTATAATGATACACACACACACACATACAGACACAAGAACTAGTCGATTCTTTAATATTTGTTTTCTTCTTCTTCTTCTTTTGATCATTGGAATGTGCCATTTTCATCATCATCATCATCATCAGATGATGATGATCTGTAAGCATTTCTAATGTGAATATCACGAATATAATCACGATGTTGATTGACGAAGATGATGATGATGATGATGATGATGATGAACTTTTAATAATCGTAACATTGGAACAAAATAGTGGTGATGATGATGATGATGATGATGATGACCACAAAAGTCAATTACAGGCTTCAACACACACACATACACTATTGATGTTGATGATGATCATTACCAATCCGGATGGTACAAAATCTTAAATTCAAACGAATTTCTTTTTCTCGAACATATTCATTTAGAAGCGTTGATGTCTTCATTAAGATTTGGCCACGTTTTTTTTTCTTTAGCCATCACACACACACACACACACACACATTACACGGTCATGGTCGTCGTCGTTGTTGCTGTTGCTGTTGATGATGATGATTATGATGTATATTCTCTTTGCATTAGCTGCCGATTCTTTTTTTTTCATCTGATTATTGACTTGAGATTGAAATTCAAATTTTTTTTTTTATTATTTTCAATCAAATCTTGGTATGTGTTTGTGTGTG